TACCCACATACACAACTGCAAGGTATGAATTCCCTTCCCCCTACCCACATACACGAATGCAAGGTATGAACCCTCTTCCCTCTACCCACATACACAACTGCAAGGTATGAAACCCCTTCCCCCTACCTACATACACAACTGCAAGGTATGAACCCCCTTCCTCCTGGTCCTGATAACCCGCTTCCATAAAAAAGGTATATTACAGAAACCAGTAGCAGAGCAAATTCGCTGTATAAGGGGGACACAGTGGTGCCACATCATGATAGAGATTCAATGATGCCTGGGAGCCAAAGCCAGCAGAATGCCCCCGGGTCAATGAGACCATTGGTGCACCCAAAGCACACCATAAAGATTGGTAACTGGAACGTACCTACACTATACAGTAGTGGCAACATTGCCCAGGCAGCAAGGGAAATGAGGTATTGAGAGGTATTGAAGGGAGAGAGGCAGGCTTGAGTTCATGGGACAAGTTGCGGAATGTGGCAGCTGACAGGGAAAGATGGAAGAGCTCTGTGAAGGCCCTATCTGCCATTTAGGCAAAACTCCAAATAAAAAAATTGTCTGTCAATTATTGCAAGGTATGAATATTTTCTGAAGCCCAAATAAATTCAGAATGTGAAAAGTATGGTTTCTGATTCAAGCCTTGTGAAGTTTCTTACACAGACACCCCCTCCCCAAACACTGACAACCCCTTCCCAAACACTGACACCCTCCAACACTGACAACCCCTCCCCAAACACTGATACCCCCTTCTCAACACCATTCCTTAAGGAAGTCCTCTGAGAATATTCTTCGGCATCAAGAGTAGCTGAAGTATCTTTGTTTATGGAATACCATAACTTAGCATATCTGCTATTTCAAATACATGTACCTGATTCATAAGCCACAAATGAGCTAGGGTTGAACTCAAGTTTCTTCATAAATCTGATTGTACCATCATCTTTGAGGCAAAATAAAGATCTTTCCCCTGTAGCAAAGATTATAAAAGATATATAGATTACAGTTATTTTGATGCCATTGGGTGTGATAGAAAAAAAGGCAGCAATCATTTGACGTAACATAATATATCTATAGGCACATTGTTCCCAGTCAGAACAAGACAACTTCTTGGGCTGCCTGTGGTATGCCTTAAACAAAGCACAGGGATCCTAAAGTTTTTTGGGGGGGTTCACTTTGGCTAAATTCAAACATTATGATGGCACTAGTACAGTTAGGGGCCCAAGGACGACCGAGCATCCTAAATAATGAAGAGGGGGGGGGGAAAATCCCAATGTACCAGACAAGTATGCAGCCCTTCATAAAAGGCTAAAAGTGCCCCCCCCCACCCCAACCCCTTCCTTATCCTCTGCAATCCTTGGACTCAATGCAAAACTTGTTCATGATGTAACATAAATATGCAGATAAATAAATTGTTGCTATAAAAAGTATAATAGTACATTACCTAAAACAACAATAGATAATGGAGTAGTTTGACTACCAAAGACCTGCATGTCTATAGTATTTTCACCAATATTAGTGCTCCAGTCAACCTAAAAGACATTTAAAATAGCTAATCAACAGTCATGTCATACAGTCAAATACAAAAAACAAATTTACACATATTCAAGGCTGCAAATAACAGCTGGACATCCGACAAAACTGGGACTTGTCTGTTCAAATCTTTGCCTTGCTGATCATTTTGACAAGTAATGGTTAGCCAGAAATGAGCTACTGTATAATATTATTAAGCTAAAACTAATTTGGCATGTGATCATGACCAGCATTTGATTGGTCATATTTGTATAAATATTACTTGTGAATGTTACTTCCCTACTGTATACACCAAATCAAAATATGGCCACCAATTTGAATAACTATTTTTTTGGACTGACTAGCGACTAACTAGCCTTGCGTTTACATGGAAACATAAAAGCGTTTTCACATGTATAAGAGGCTAGTCAGTCACTAGTCAGTGCAGACCAATAGCTATTCAAATTAGTCACCATACTACGTACTGTTAATTTTTTTCCTGACAACTTTTTATTGCCAATATCTTCTTTATTATTAGCATCTGTTGCCACAGCTAGGGTCTGGTATCTGAAGAAAAAAGAAAGAAAAATTCACTAAAGATTCAAACAATAAAAAGTGATTAATAAAAGGGCAATTTAACTGTAATGCTTAAAAAGCTTTCAAAGCTAAAATGAAAATTGCATTTTTCTTACTTGTAAGAGTCTACTGTTCTTGATGAGGTACATAATGCAAACGAGTCTGTTTTGGCAACATATGCAAGTGGACCAGGAAGTAAAAAACTAGGGATAAAACGACTAAAACCAAAGCTTTCTTGTTCAAAAAATGACAACACTCCATCCAAGGACTGTACACAGATGAAGTCTTTGCCTAAAATAAATGATTCAGAATGAATAAACTGTTTGCATGGTGGTGTCATTTGACTCCCACTACCAAAATGCTTTCACAAATTTTCTTTTTTATTGAAATTTGTATTTCCTCATAAGAATAGTAAGACAATTAGTGCTAATTACTGAACAAAAGAAAGTGTCCAAGGGAGTTTGGTAGTGGTAGTATAATGATGCCATAATGCAAGTGACGTATTAATGTCAGTTTCACTGCTTGACTCAGAACTCTGAATGATTTGTTCAAAGGTATGCACTGTATTTTACAGTACAGACATACTGAGTTAACCAATCACAATCTTTAGTGAAAACTGTAACCAATCTAGAGAAAGAAGAATCCATAGCAAATCACAATCTTTTATTTCCATGGCTGTTGATCATTGATTGACAGACATAATTACTGTTGTTTGCTTCTGCTTCCAATATTAAAAATTCAAAAATTTAAAAAATGTAAAAAATTTGTGAATAGTTCCAGTTACTGTGTTTGCACTATAATTAATATTATCAAATACTATTTACCTTTCACACCACCAAATGGTCCATATGTCATATTAAAAGCACTTCTTTCTAAAATGTGTTCATAGACCATGTTTAGGGAATAATGGGTACCATGTTCTACAGCTCCAGAAACAGCTGAAATATAAAGTATGACAAATGAGATAAAATGCTTACATTTATATATGCTTTACAGCACAACGCACAAAAGTATGACCACATTTAATGTATTTGCATTATCAATGCACTGGCTTTTTCCTGCCAAATGAGCTTTTGCATGCCTTATTGAGTAAAACTAGCCAGCTCTGTGTCAAAATGCGTTGGTTTAACATACAGAACCTGTGTATAGAAATATACGCATTTATTAAATGTGGTCATTTAATAGTAATAATTTAGCTGTAAACATTTTAAAGGACATTGCAATTAGTTTACTATATTCTTTGTCCTTTCTCCTTTTTGCTTTCTGTGAATAATATGCATAACATATAAAGAGTCGTAGTCGTTTGTAAAAAATGAAAAATGAATGAATAAAAACACTTTTCTAATTGATAACAATATGGGTAAAAGGTAATGATCATAAAAACAAAAACAAATTCCTATGTTTTTGTAGAGTGTGATCATTTGGTTAAGTTGTATTAATTTCAAAAAGACTGTTGCCTGTGGCGACTAACATTTCAACTGACAAAAGTCATCTTCAGAGACAAGTGAAAAAACAAATACAATTATAATTTTTATAATAAAAGTACTTATAAATTATGGTAATAATATAAGTAGTGTTAATTTTTCCGGAATGCTAGTACAAATAAGTGGAATAATTATTGTACTGAATGTATGGAAATATCATGCATTTACAGATAGTGGTAYATGATACTCTCTTCCTTATTATATCCAATAAAGATACCAATTGAATTGTACTCTGGAATCATTTGTAAAGTGAGGAAAGCTGGAGAACTGACAGACAAGCCTTTAAAGCAGAGAGTGAAACTAATTATGAGAAAAGAAAGTCTGATATATAACACTTCCTTAATTCTTCATATCCCCACATCAACCCTTCTCCCAACTATGAATTAATAATTCCTTATACATATCCACTTTACATAAGAAAGCACTTTCTTTTCAAGATAATAAAAGATGGATTGGAATAATGAAAAAGGCTAAGTGAAGAATTATCCTACTCCTCTATAGAATGAGATAGAACTAGTATTCATCCTCCCTTACCTCTAGCAATATTGTATTATAAAAACATTTAAAATGTATTGCTCATGATTGAAGGGATATTTTCAGTGTTTGATTAAAAAACATTGGTTTCCGTACAACTTGATTGGCTTGATATGGTTCTTGATGACATAGCTAAACCTTCTCAGGAGGCAGTAGCTACAAAAAGGACACTGCATAGTACTGTACATCACTCAGAATGTACAGTATGGTGGTATATGCCAAAGGGAAAAGGAGATTATTCCTTCTGGAACTACACATTGATAAGCAAGGTGTAATAAAACAAATTTATCATGTATATTGGAAAAGCCTCTTACATGAAATAGCATAGACTGCTAGTTTTCTAGGATGGAGTACTGCTAGTTGGATCTTATCTGAGCCCCTGAAAAGAAGAACCACACATAAACAAATATATTAAGCTCAAAGATAAAATCAAGCAATCAAAAAATAATGCTAGACAACATCTGGCCAGCTTGAGGATGTCCTGTATCTCATTACCAGCTTACGATAACAGTCTGCCTTTCATGCTTGATGATTATCCAATATGTACTTTTCTAATTCAAAAAGTATTTCCCATTCCATGACATTATTGAACAATATTGAACAGTAAAACTGTCCACCTATCACTCAGGTATAGTATTTTATTGGTTTGGCTAACACTTTAATTGAAAGCAAGCAAATGAATAGGAAGTCTGAAGTGAATGGTTTCAGTTTTCCGATAATTTTCATTTACAGGGAGTTCTGGAGGAATGAAATGGGTATGACATTTGCTTACCATGCACTGGAAAAGGGGATTTGATGAACTGGGAATGGAATATAGAGCAATGGGAAAGGGAAATAGATCAGCCATATTATAGAAGGCAAAGTTTAAGCTCATAACATACAATGTAAAAAAGAATTAACTATAAAATTGAGCATCTTATGAGGATCTGTATGGAAAAATGCACTGGGTGGAAGAGTTTTGATATCCATACAGAATATTTGATTTTATACTTGATGCTATTTCTCCTATATTGACATTATGAGTTGAAACTCTGCCTCCTTACTAATATCCTGGTGCTCTTATCATTTCTGGCATCTATTTTGACACAACTGTTCATTTTATGGAGGTATAGTCATGTGACTTAAATGTTGTCCTTTGAGAAAATGGGAATGGGATTCATCTTTTCTAGCATCTTTAAAAAATGCATTTGTTATAAACTCTGAAAAAATCTAACAAAAAAGTCAGGAAAGTGTCTTGAATTTCTTGTTCACCATTTTGGGATTTCTGTGAAAGCTTTTGGATGAGAAATGGGATTGGCCTTTCTCCCATTCTAGTTCAATATACAATCTCCATTGGGACCAAAAAGGGGTCGTTTACAATGAAGGAAGATTTTCCTTATTCTCTACAGATAAAATACCCATCTATCCCCGCTTGTTTACTACGTCATTAAGAGGTTTAACGCATATATGATAAAATTAGCAATATATACTTACGAGATAAACTTCCCAGACTCAACTTGTAATATCGCTTGTTGTAGTTGTATTTCTAACATAAGATCCTCTGCCTTGAATTGTGCCTCTTTGGGATTATAAATTCGTAAAATACCATGATAGCTCCCAACGATAACTTTGTCTATAACAGATATAACAGGCGTTCATAAAAATTGATAATACGCTTATCGCGACATGGAAAATCGAGAGCTTCGACCATAACAAATGGAAGTGGCTTCGTTTCAAAAGAAAGTTTTAGTGAAATAGGTCGAATATTTTGGACAACGAATTACAGTATTCAATTGTGACTTTTCTGGTGTTACATCTACATTATGAGACTTCAAGCCAAATATCATAAATATAAATTTATAGTACTTGCCGAGCTACCGCAAAAGATTGGTGACCTTGACGACCAGAGTCAAGCAAAAAATACACCACTGGACACCGCAAAAACAGAATTACAGAGTTCAAAATAATGCTAACAATATCCAACCAACACATTTAACTGTACATAATGAGAGTCCCAAAATATGAGAAAGAATAAAAGATGAAGAAAAAAGAGAGAGAAATGAGATTTATGGCAATGAAAGCTGTACAAAATTCACGAAAATTAGTTCAGTGTCTGGCTGTCGAAACACCAGAGTTATTCGGAGTTCGCGAACTGTTTTAACAACACAATTTAACTGCAAACTTTTAATACCTGAATACGTGGCGTTGTTATCTATATTTGAGACGGACATACATCCTGTATCGAATTCTTCGTTGCTACCACAGAAAGTAGACCACCAATCTCGCGCTTTGAACAGCGACATCTTGGATTTTGTCGAGATTGTCTTCAAATTTGTCGCGCTTTCTTCGCGCTCTTCCTTCTCCTTGAAAGCAGTCACGTGATATTCCCGAGTAATTATCGATCGATCAGAACTCTTTAATTTCTTATATATTCTGCTATTTTTTATTATCTTTTTGCAATAAAATTCTGTGATCTTCATAATCTTTCACTTGTAAGCCTCTTCTTCCTTCCTATGCACAATAAATTTTTGAATTTTTTATAAGAGTTTTGAATGTTTTTTTTTTGTCAAAAAAGCCTGGTAACTAGTTGGAGCATTCTTTCAAGATGGCAGACCAACGTGACTGAAGTTGTCATCAAAAACGTTTTTAATTTAACAATGAAAAGCGGAGAATCAAAAAGACTCTGTCAGATATGTAAAGAAAGTCCATTCAAATACAGATGTCCTTCGTGTTACTTTCTATAGTGAGTGAAAAAAACAGAAATTACAGCTAGGTCCAACTATACACGTCTGCCTGGCTACTTTTGGTGGTTTAGTTTTTTAACTCGAAATCTTGTTTGCCTTTCATTTTCAGCTGCTCTTTACCTTGCTTCAAGTCTCATAAAGGTACATTATTGAATATCCTTTGACAAAAAACATAAAATTATTGCAAAGCTAAGTTTTACATGCTATTTTACATTTCCCTTAGACGCCGTTCTAACATCAAATGCATTTTTTATTAAACTATGTTTTCAGCAGAAAATATTTGTGAATTAGAAACAGGAAAAAGAAAGAAGGAATCTGAAAATGTTGATACAGGTGAGTAGATAAGCTTATGTTTGGAGGGGAAGGGCAGAGGACATTTGAAAACCTAAGCAGTAACATCCAACCTTCCCCCCCTTCCTCCCTCCCCCTCCCCCTCCTTCTAACATTTTGGGAGTGAGAATGTTATCCACCACGCTCTTCTTAAGTTTTGTTCTTCCAACTTTCCTCATGTTTTAAGGTCAACAAGAAGGACAAATTAGTAATGATGAGAATTCTGAAGATGAAGACAGGTTATCTCTAAGTGATCTGAAGAAGCTTGGTAAGAAAATGACTTTTGCACCCTACCCTGTCAGTAACTACTATTAATAGTTACTAACAGGGTTCTAGAGCCACTACATAGCACAGCCAGTGTGTATGTTTCATAAAAGCAAAGATGGCTGCCTGAGGAGAGACAAGGGTGGGAATCACTTGTCATGGCTTGCAGTTGTCACTGCAAAGTTAAATAAATAAATAAAATGATAATAATAATGAATTTTAGGGTCCCAAATTTGTGACGTGTTAAGGTCTTACAAATCTTAAGTTCTCACAAATCTACAAGGACCGCCATAAAGTAAGCTGACAGTTGTAATTCAGGATGCTAGTTTTCAGTTCATCATCTGATTTCTGTCACTTACTAGCACTTAGATAATTGATAACTTTCAGGGTAAAATTTATAAGTTTACACACCCACCTGGACAAGACTCTTTTTTTTCAATTACCAATGGGCATCTCTGCCCTTTTATATATGGGAACATCCCTTCTGCAGGGATGGCTATCAGGAAAGTTCTTAGCTCCATGTTTTTCTGTTTCAAGTTATATTAATAAAATTATTTCCCTGACACTATGCTTTGCAATGTTTTTGTTTTCTTTCAGAAAAATGTGGAGTAATTGAAAGCATGCTCAAAAATAAGGACATTAGAAAAATGATAACTAATATTGATGGAGCACAGGACCCAGAGATGGTACTCAGGACCTCTATGAAAGAACCAATATTTATGGAGTTTGCAGATCAGTGTCTTTCTGTAGTTGAATCAAAGAATGAGAATGATGGATAATGTAAATATTGTGCAATTTGTAATTAATATTTTGATAATATAACTAATGAAAATGTAACAATGTTTGTGTATAGCAGAGGATGATTCTTCACAATGTATGATAAAGAGAACAGAAGTAAGACAGGATGTGTATGCATTTGTACATGCATGTAAAGTGATTAGGTATAGATGCTGGAAGATAAATGAAGATAAAGATGACTCAGAACTAAGAATTCATGTTAATTCTTTACTATGTATGCTGAAAAGAATATTGCTGGGTTTCACTTGATGTCATTTCCTGTCTTGTGCAGAATGTTCATTAGCCTTCAATATAATTCTTTCTGCTGGGTGATAGCAAATGGTGGTCAGTGTTTGACCACCATTCGAAGCAGATAATGAAATGCTGGACAAGATTAAGCAAAATTATCATTTTTATTACAAAATAACTGTATTTACAAGTTCTGAATTAAAACTTAGACAAGAAAGCATGTTTTTGTTTTAACTATCAACCATGGGGCTGAATAATATCAGTCTAAATCCTCAGCAAATGAAATTTAGGGACCTGTCCCAAAGTCCATTCTATTTCAGCTTTCTACAGGATGGGTAGCATTAGAAATAAGGGCTTTGAACTTTTTCTTTCCTCTCTTAGCCTTGTACTCCATGTATCCACGAGCTGCAACAATACCAATGACAAGACCTGCTCCCATTGTAATAGCTATCCAAGCTGCAAAACTTATGAACATGTCTGTAGATAAAAAATATGGAATCTTAAAATGATTTTCATTCAGACCCTCCTAAACTGTAAAGGCTGGTTATAAATTTAGCCGTACCCTGACCACCCTGTGACAAGAGGTTGTTTTTCTTTTCCTCCTAGGGATAGACGTTTCATGGTATAGTATTGGAATATGAAATTGAAAGGCCATCAGCCTGTTGTAAACGGGAATGAGTAACTCTATTCAATTTCAGGTCTTTGACAAGGTGTAACTGTAACAGAATTCAATAAAATAAATACTTTTTCGTTTCTCGCAGACATAAGGTAAGGCAGTCCTACACCCAAGGTCGGACCACGTGACAGAACCATTCCATTTCTTGATCTGTACACAGTCCTCTCCCGTACATCGAGGCAGAAGTCTGTCATATAGCTTATCGTTGGGCTCTCCTGTATCCCAGTTAAAGAATGTCGCCTTGTTTGAAAACTGATCGACTCCTATATCATTCCATACATAGATACCTTTAAAACACAAGGGTATAAGATCGATCATTTAAACGTCAATGTTTCCAAGTTCGATTGACGTCCAGCTACGTCCCATATTACAGCACTATGCAAGGACGGAGGATGGTAGATCTCGAACATAATCTAAGTATCGTAACCTAAAACTTCGCGTCAGAAGAGTTAATAAAGTCAGCGAGACAACCCCCCCCCCCCTCCCTCCCCAATTGATATCTTCCTTTATTACATCATCACCACTAATCAACAGAACAATCTGAGGACCAAACTGAAAATTTTCAACATGCGGCAGATCACCCAGCGTGCAACATGTCCTTATACCTGCTTCGGCCCTGTCGTTAAGCCCTGTCCATATACTTCTTTTTATCTCCTTGAAACTCATCACATAGTCGTTTTCTTGTAAGCTTGATATTGTTAAAAGGGTAGCATTCATGTTCATACAATGAAAACGAGCTTCGTCCCAAGCTACCTGTAATGGGTCATACTTGTAGCACTTGCCACGGGTGCAGTTCCAGCCTGGAATGCCTGTCAAAAGATATAACGAAATGACTGAATTAACAGACGCGTTCCATGAAGCATTCAATTGTGTTCGTTGGGAAAGAAGGGAAATGCCTTCTAAGCATACGAAATCAGTTACTAGAGAAAGTAGAACATGTGGCCCTCTGTTTAACTTCTATCAATGAGACGGGACCGCCACCTTATGTGGTCATATCCCGTTTGGGCCTCCTCCAGGGATAGGTCTGACCATTTCCAGATATTTTTAGAGCAAAGACAGGATCAATCTTAAGACCCTGAATAATGGTCCGGCCTTGGCTTTACAGTGAAACCCCTCTATACCGGTCCCTCAGTATACCGGAATTCTCTCTAAACCGGACAAAAGTTTTGGTCCGGAAATTTTTCCCATATATCTTTTGTAAAATAAACCTCAGTAAACCGGAACCTCTCTATTCCGGAAACCGGACGATAATTTCGGTACCAAACGCCATTTGACAATAGAATTCAACCCCGCTAGTCCGGAAGAACGTACCTTTGTTTCGGAACTACCGTCACTAGCGTATTTGCGGGTGTATAAATTGAGTCTCCATGGACAACTTCTAAACTCACAAAATCATTAAAAATTTTCTTTAAATAGTAAATCTTGTTCACAAATAGACATATAAAGACTAATTAATTGTTTTCAATATATAAATGTTCAAACAGAATGCATAAGRAAGGTTTAATAGTGTTGAGAAACACTAAAGATCGAATGGTTCGCGAAGTTGCGGCCGCCATGTTTTTTCATGTCACATGGCTTTGGGGTCATTCCCAGTCCATTCTACCGGGGATTTTGTCCAGATCGTATTTAGAATGTTTCTTCTTGGCGTTCTTTTGAAAAAAGTTAAGAAATTTGCTTAGTTTTTGATCTTATTGTTGTATTTTTACTTGAACTTTCGTTTACGTTTGTTTATATTGACGCCAAACGATTAGACACAAACATATTTTCAATAGGTTTTTATCGCTCCCAGCACTGTCCGGTATAGAGGGGTTTCACTGTACTCCATAAACTCATGCATAGACTTGCCACATGTCGACTAACTTTGTATTCTTTCTTTTCTTTAGAGAAGCCGAAAAAAAGCCCTCTCGCTTTTAGCGACGAAATCGCGAGTACGAAAGATACCAAAAGAAAAAAACGGACTACGAGAAAGTCCTGCACACATACTTTGGGCAGGAAAAGGGAGAATAATAAAAAGTATTACGAAGACCTGGGTTTTCCAAAGTGAAACCTCACCTATTTTGGAATACAACTGACAGACAAATCCAAACAGAGCATTACAAACAGCATCGTTCCATTTCTTTGTCGTATACTTCAATTCAACACAGTTTTCCACGTTACAGCCGCGGTTATTATTGTTTGGTTCTTTGTCTTTGGGGTTACTTTCGTCCCATGCAGAGAATGAAGGTAAAGGATCCCTTTGGTAGTTCCATATGTAGCTTGATTCTTGGGATTTATCGTTAAGGCCAATCCATCCTCCGTCTCCAGTCTCGAGGAGATCTCCAACAAATCTTTTGGAAATTAGTGAGAAAAAGTTTAGAACAGATAAATATGCAACTTCACTGAGTCGGTAAATCCAGTTGACTTGTCCCTAGCACTGGGGTCACCCTATCCTTCATGCAACTAGGCAACAAAAGACTTGGACCCTAGCACTAGGATCACTCTACCTCATACAACTAGGCAATTAACGGAAAGACTTGTCCCTAGCACTAGGGTTACCCTACCTTCATGCAACTAGGCAATTAAAGGAAAGACTTGTGCCTAGCACTAGGGCTACCCCACCTTCATGCAACTAGGCAACTAAAGACTTGGACCCTAGCACTAGGATCACCCTACCTCATACAACTAGGCAATTAACGGAAAGCCTTGTCCCTCTAGGATCACCCTACCTTCATGCAACTAGGCAATTAAAGGAAACGGAAAGACTTGTACCTAGTATCAGCGTCGCACTACCTTCATGTAACTAGGCAACACGAGATTTTCCCAGGGCTACCTAGGGTCACAAAATGTAGTTGTTCTATACTTACTTGTTTTCTTCGACGTTGTTTATGGTTGCAAGGTGCGCTCCGTTGGACTGACAAAAGCTGTTTGCATCTTCCCAGGTTTTGGGCACAGAAAAGTACTTGAAGCAGGTATCACCTTTTTTCCCTGACGAGTAGAAATAGTGCCATCCTTTCTCGCACTTAGCTGGAGAATACAGACATGAATATATTAGAGTGTATACCATATATCCGTGAAAACGTTAACTAACAAATACGTCTGTACAAATTCATGCAAAGGTTTGTAGGTCTGGGGTCTACTGAACTTAATAATTTGCGCAAATTTGTGCAAACTCTAGTAATAAAGTTGGCGAAGTTCAATTCCCCCTGGTTACCCTGCGAGCAGAGTCTTTTTTTACCTCCCCCACGGGCGTGAAGGAGTTAAAGAAGACTCCGCTAACAGGGTACCCCGTACGGATAGAGTGCATGCCATATCAGTATCCGTGTTGCACAAATTAGTAAGTTCATCAGATCTCAGTAGACCAACAAAATTATGCACTAATTTGTACAATTTTGTTCATTATCTTTTCCACGTATATATGTATGCACACTATTAATAAAACTTAGGAACTGGAAAATGGGATTTCTGATTTCAGTGACTAAACGTTTTACCTTCGCAAGCAGCAGTACATTTGTCTGTCAATGCTGTTCTTTTCTCGTGGATTTCACAATCTGTCAGAATATAGTATCAAATTCGGAAAGAAGTTAAGTTACTGAAAAGAAAACTGCATGAAAGTAATAACGGACTGCAAAATTTAAGGCACCCACTTCACAGTATCCCCGTTACTGCTGGCTTAAAAAAATATCGCTATTCACCACCGAAATAAGTACAACAGTGTCCGTTCCGTCTGAGCTCCTTCTCTCTTTCAAGTCTCTCTCTCTATGTGCGGTGTGTCTCTCTGTGTGGCATTTTAATTCATTACCATTCAGCTTTAGGAAAAGTGTGATACGAAACCGCCACTGTCTTAAGCAGTTACACTTTACCTGTGATTGTCAGCCAATTCCGCGTGATTTCCTTCCCTCCTTCAGTCTCAATACTTCCCTGGTAAAGCGCCGAATCAGACGGCATCAACCTCTTAATAATAATCTCATCATTCTTGACTTCAATGTTGCTAAATTCTCCTGGAAGCTCTTGAGCATACTTTTGCCATTTGAAGGTCTTGTTCTTTTTGATAGGAAAGTAATGATGTGCTTTTAGCGTCACGCATTCTCCTCGTCTCTTCTGAATTGGTGTTCGGTTTATTTCGTACACTTTCTCGTCTGGTTTTATCATGAAAGAAAGAAATAATGACTTAGAAAAAGCACAAAGAAAGAACGCGTTTAACATGATCTGCTGCTTTTCATCAATTTAAACGTAGTTGACAAAAAGTATCTGACAAGTTAGAGGAAATGAGAAGCAAGCCGGATTCACAAGTAGACTAATTTTGATTTTAAATTGCCATTCTCTTCCTCACTGCCTGTACAAATCTAATTAAAACCATACTGTAGAACTATACATCAACTGAAGAACTACAAATGTCAGTACTGCACAAATTTATAAAATTAATTTTTTAAATACATATGATAGAAGCTGTACGTTTACTGCATGTTGTGAAATAAAAGTCTTCTTCTAAAGAAAGGGTCATGGTGATATGACAAATGACTTTCAAGGAAACTTGAAGGCTTTGAACTAAACTTTCAATAAAGCTTTTTAAAAAGAAAACGAAAAATGTAAATCTTATTTTACGATCTTCAAGACGTAAAGTTAATTAGTTGTCAGAACTAAAACACGTTTCTCTCGGCTCAAGCACCCGGGTTGTGGACTCCCAGCTTCATACTGACATCGAATTGGTATCCTAAGATACCATTAAAGTTGGTTTGTCTTTTGCTAAGTTGGAAGCGATATATTTCAACAGACTCAACAGAAAAAACTTTCTCAAAAATTCACACATCTCTAACTAAAACACTCACCAGCTAAGGCAACTGTCGAGACCAAAGCAAAGACGAAAAATTTGACTCCAGAAAACATCTTCTATTGGCTACAAGCCAGAATGAAGTTAAACTCACACCTCAAAGTTCAGTAAATGCATGTTTCGTAACACGTAAACTGAGTTATTATTGAGATATTCGTAGCATAGTTCATATTTGACGGAGTAATACTGAGTTGTTGTCTTTGACTACGAGACTATGCCATCTGCGTTGAGTCAATGTCACCAATGAAACAAAAGAAAAAAAGATTAGCGTGATGTCAAAAGTGACAACTTCAAGTTAATAATAAAACCATTATTGTTGATACAGTCATTGTTGTCACGCAACTACATTAGCTTAAGAATTCATTTCCCGTTTACAATCCTTAAGAAAAAGGAGGATAAAATTCAGGTTTCCCGATCCGACGTTTATATTTACTTCAATCCCCTTTTTAAAAAAAAGTTTGTAGCATTATGAACTTTTATCGAAGTTCTACCGAGTAAGTATCGATTGACTACCGAACAACCGAATGCTTGAAACAACACGGCGTGGTTCCTAAGCGATCGAGAATTGATAGTTATTAGTGCCACTTCATGAGGTCTTACATGAAGTAGTAACCATTGATTTGGTGTCTTGTATTTCGTTTTGTACATATGACACTGGGTTTTATTTCGTCTGGATCTTACTAGTATTCTCCGATCTTTTTTGTTCAGATCAGCTGGGTAAATAGTATAGAATATTCTCTATATAACCTTCGAGTGACATGGATTTGACTTGACGATTACTTCAAGGGAAAGAATGGCTGTCTGAGGTTAGTGTTTATAGAAACCAAACACGAATGTCTAAGAATTACTGTCATTTTATCTTAATAAATTTCGCTTTCTAATCTGAATTCTTTTAGTCTGATATGATACTCCCTGCTGGAGGTTTACGATACTTATGTTGTTTCGAAATTATGTACATTGGTTAATGAAGTTTGTACTTATATTAGATGTACTCTAACGCGAGAGAGTAGGAGAGAAACGAAGGATCGCGTGTTCATAGGCTGTAGTGAAGGACTAAATAACAGTCAGATCGTTGCCAGCTATAAAGTAATAAAGTAAAACTGCATGACTTTTTAATTTAAGTTAATATAGGAAAGCGTTTAAGGTATTTCGCCATTCATTCATCTTTAAGAGTTTGACATGTTCAACCTAATTAAGCTTATACCTAATTTTCAAAAATTAAGCGTATAATTTTCGTTCTCTGTTTTATTAGCTCTTTCATTTCTAGGATTTAAAAATAAATCAGCCTAAAGTATTAAAAACCAGCCTACATTTTATAAATGAATAATTTCACCAACCAAGATAGTAGTTTTCTTGACTAATTTTGTTAGTTTCGTATTAGAATAAGCTTAATTCATTACGAAAACAAGTTTGTTTGAGGGTTGAACAATAAATCATTCATGAGTTTCGTATAATTACCTTCAGCAGTGACAGGAACTTACAGTTATGAACAAAGAAATGCTGTCGAAAGCATCTTTTGTGAATATTTTAATCAATTCCTTTGACTTGATAGCTTTTTCCTGTTGAAAAATCTTAATTGTACCTTCAGTGAAACACCAGATTGGGTATGTTTTGGCTTTCTTGTACTGGGATAATATATTAGTGTTTGAATTTATCTAACCTGAGCTAAATATACTTTCTACAAATATTTTTGGCTTTTCAGAGTGCTGAGTACTTGTTTGTCATTTACTCCATAAGATTGACTATATTTATATTGAAAAATGTTTAAATTTGCATCGATTCTCAGTAACAGTCGTTCCCTTGATACAAGAGTTAATTTCCCTGGAGATGTTCAGTTTTCCTCCCTTCATTGACAGCAAAATCTAGAAAAATCCAATTTCTTCATGAGTTAGCTGTGCCAGACATATAGATCAGCCCAGAGATTATGTCAGAGTTGGAATTTTAAAAAACCTTTTCTTTTCTTCATGTTTTGATGTTTTTGTTTGGAATGTTTTACCATTTGACTTTCAAAGCATATTCTTTGATTTTATTTTACTCCAAAATTCCTATGCTCATTAAATTAATTTCATCACCACATCTTTTGCAGATACTATGGAAACAGCTATAAGATGAAACTACTTACTGTCATCAATGTTTACCAGAGCTTTGGTACAAATTGAATGTGTCATATACCTACTAAAAATGATGATACATATGACAGGGTTTACCAGTTCCTGACATAGCATAGCACAGTCTATCTATATTGTGTACATTAATCTTATATTACAAGTGGTTCTCAGTAAATATGGGATCTACATCTTCTGAACCAGTGAATCCACAACGACCCCAGTTAAATAGTCCTAAGAACATCAATGATGAAAGAAGAAGAAAATTCCCTAAATGGAATAACCTTAGAAAGAAACTATCAAGAGGTAAAAGTATGTTCAGGACATTTGATCATGGGAAAATGCTACGAGAGCTGACTCAGACCTGGAGTTATCAAGAAATAGTTGCATTGGTTGATCATTACAGGTCGTTAATGGAAATCAAAGACTCCATTTCACAAATGAATCTGACCCGTCCACATGTACAGCCACTGAAGAAAGACATGTTGGATCTGCTTCAAAAAGGAATGTGTTCAGATGTTACACTTATCTTTAATGGTGTGAAGTTTCCTGCCCATAAATCCATTCTTTCTTCAAGGTGTACCTATTTTCAAGAATTGTTTTTACAATGGGATAATGAAAGCTCCACAGAAATTCCTGTCAACATTCCTGTTGACGGCATCTCTGTGGAGATGTTTTCTACTTTACTGCAGTATTTATACACAGGAGATTTTCCTGCACAGACCTCAGGGCTTGATAGTTTAGACATGCTGATGGAACTTGGGGAAGAGTTTGGCACTCCAAATGTATTGGAACAGGACTTGAAAGGCCTTTTATACAATGCCGACCATGCAGATGTGCTACTTGTTTTTCAAGGACTTCAGCCCCCTGATATCAAAGAAAATACATCCCTGACTGAAACAAGCTTTGAAGTACCATGCCATAAAGCAATCCTCTGTGCACGTTCACCTTTTTTCAAATCTCTTTTACTCAAGCAAGACCTAAATTTCTCAACCTCAAAGGATTCTGGTTGTATACGTCTTGTTCTTGACGAACGGGTATTTCCTCGGCAATATGCTAGAGTGGTTCTCCAGTGCATGTATACAGATTCCTTCGATCTATCCTCAGTTGTAAAGTGGAGCTCAGAGGAGAAAAAGGGCTGTGGTTTGGGAACACATAATCTTCTAACAATGGCAGAGATTGCAATGGAAGTCTATGAAGTGGCCAAGTTTATTGAATTTGATGTCTTAGCACAGGGTTAGTATTTGAGTTTCTTGTCAACAACATTACCACAAGATTTTTGCCTCAGTTTAATCAGTGAAAAATCATGTAAGTCAACATCAAATAGACCTTTTTTGAGTTTCAAATTACCACTGTGTTCCTTGATTACATCAATTGTTTTATTTCATTTAGCCAAATTTTTTCTCATTGTTTTCTCCAAGAGCCATAACTGCTCATCTAGGGAGATCACAAAAAGACTTATTTATTCAGACTCATTTACCCAAGCTTTGCCTTGTATCAGGGTCTAAATATTCACAAATATCAACGGCAAAGTAAAGAATATAACTCCAACAATACAAACACTTTGAAATTCCACAGACCATCACTGGAGCACATAAATATTCTGCACAACATTGAGGCTAACTCAAAACTAGAGTACTTAGGCTTAAATTTTAATAAGTACAGTATTTTTTTATAATCTTTGGAATCTTTGGATGGTATCCCTTGTCAAGCTAAGAAAAGGGTTGCATATTTCTATTTATTTCTGAGTTTTGTTTTGCTGTTGCACATCAGGTTGTGAAGATGTCCTACAGGAAGAACTGTCACCATCATCTCTTTTGGGTATCATGGAATGGAGTGAGCAGCCTCATGGTTCTGTCTGGGTGTCCAGACAAGCTCAGCAGTACTTACAGGATGAATTCCTGACAGTAGCTCAAAGTGATGCCTTCCACAAACTACCCAAAGAGTATCTTGTTAACGTACTCCAGTCTGATTATGTACAGGTAAGTGATGCCTAACTTTGTCTGCTGAGCTAAGTAATCTTAGTTTTCACCTCATATGATGCTGAATTTAGAAATTGTACTTGGGTTGCCTTGGTAAGAGGTGAGGGGTGTCACCACTACGCACACCAACCGTGCTTCCCTAATCATTATCAACAGTGCAAATGCCTTCAGTTGCTGAATTCTTGAGTTAAGCTTGAGTTCAAAGCATCGCAGTCAAATGACCATCTCCATGACAACCAGTGATTGACAAGGGATTGTTTCTTAGCTGGCCAAGTTTTTTACAGCTGTTAATTATTTTTTGTTTGTTTGTTTTAACAGGCTTGTGAACATGATGTCTTATTGTCTGTCATAAGATGGGGTGAGAGTCAAGTTGCAAAGAAGATGCAATCAATGCCAGGTTTGTATTATGGAGGGCTAAAACTAAGATAATGCTAGGGTTTCTTGATCCAGACCCCACATGGGCTGGTGAAATTGGACTCCCAAGGACTTCTATGCTGACAGCATAGTGCACATGCAGTATATTTTGTTGCATGGAAACTCTTGCATTATCATTTACAATAACATTATGATCTCAGCCAAGTAAATTTGACAATTTTGGTTCGAACGACCTGTGGTACRTACAGTGAAGTGTTTACTGGAGCTGGAACTTGTGTCTCATGAGTGGCGACACAGGTTGCACAAGAGTTGTTACATTGTGGTGCAGTTCCTATTGAAACTTCACCCATGACACAAGTTTCAGTTGCACAAGCAATTAGCAGATCTACTTTCTCGCCTTCAAAGGTTCACAAGGAAAGCATGCATGTTACATGGTTCAATTTATTGGAGATTTGTTTGCAATGATGTTGCACAAGATTGAATTAAATATTTCACCGTGTGGCAAGGGCTTGGAGGGTTTCACACGAAATATTTCATGCCCACAGTCTGAGTGCAAACATCCATGGATATTTAATCGAATTAGAGGACGTATTCGGTCAAAATGATCTCAATGTATCAACGAATTAACAAAATGTACATCAAACAACTTCCTGTGTTTCTTATGTATCTAGAGAGGGCTAAAAAGGATGATACAAAAGAGAGGAATCGAAGGGAAAGGGAGCTGAAATACATCTTTTTCTCACAAAATAAATGTCTTCACAAAGTTGTTTCTCAATAACAATTATGAATCGACTATCTATCATTTTGCTACTGAATTCCAGATACGATCCAAGATGGTAAAAGAACAGTCAAACGACGGGACATCATCAATAAAGCATTGAAGAAAGAACTTGCAGGCGTCATCAACAACGTAAGGATTCAACACGTGCTACCACTGCATAGCGATCTATTGGAGAGTGCAATAGATAGGAGGTTGATCGACAGAGGAATGCCGCTAGATATCGGAGAAGGAAGCTTTTATCCCAGCTGTCCCTGGATGAGAAGAAGACATGATAAAGATTTTGTGAAACCAAGATATTTCTTGCCATACTACGAAGAAGCCAAGGTTAGTAAGGCTTCAAAACGCTACTGTGAGGATGCAGAGGTGGTTCTAGGATCTTGAATTGGGGGATGGAGGAGGGGGATCATCCGAGGAACAAATATCCCTCGCTCCAGTCAAATGCGCAAATTTGTTTTAAGCAGTCTCTGGATATTTCCCAAATTTTGAAGTCTTCAGTGGAGGTGCTTTTTTGTGCGTTCTCGAAGCATAATTCTCGCCAGAAATGATATGCAGTGGCATCCACTGAATGGCCCTAGATCTGCACACGAAGGAAACAGCTGCAAAGTATTTGCAGGAGAAATAAATGTATAGTTATCGAAATTCTAACCGTGAACTTTATCTTTCTGGCCTTGCTCACGGCACTCGTAACACAACAGAAGTACACTGAGCAAAGTACGTTCCTTCTTAAAACGATAGTGCAGCTGTTCATGAGCAATGCACAACTGAGTCTACAACACAAGTATAAGCATCAGCAACGTACACAGATTCAATGCAGCTCTTCTCTAATGGGTTTGAGAAAAGACAACTGCTGTTAATGAGCAATGTACAACTGAGTCTGAGTCAATGATGTCTTTTTCTCATTCATCTTTTTTCTCATTGTTCCACTTGTTCTCCCCTTCAGAGAATCTTACAAGAGTACAAAGACACAGAACTACGCCTCCTTAAACAGCGCATGCTTCGATTGGGTCAAAGTATCCCGGACACCCTGTACATGGTCAGCGAGACCAAAGACAAACGCCGCGGCTCAGGTTATCCTAAAGACTCTAGTAGGTCCGTCACAAACCTGGGCTATTGTTCTGGTCGGAGGTCCTGCTCCAATGATCTTGGTCTCTATTGTCGATCAAGAAGATCTAATTCATTATCTCAAGGTGAGTTGGAATGTTTGGGTGGGGCTTGTTTGACACCCCATAAATTAAATCCGATGCACGCAAAGCTGAAGTGAGCAGATTTTCTTGGTCAGAGAAAGTATTTCTGGCCCGAGGGGGGCGGGGGG